GTTTATTTTTGTACCATATGACGATTCATATTAAAAACTGGAGATTGATTTGCAATTAACAGTCGCATTGCATTGATTGTTTTATATCGTTTCAGAACATTAGTGTGATGGTACCATACTATACCATAGTACTGAATGACGACTATATTCATATACACTACCATTCAAAAGTTTGGGGACACTAAGATTTATTCAGCAAGGATGCATTCAATTGATCAAAAGTGACAATGAAGACATGTACAAGTGTTACAAAAGATTTAAATTTCAAATTGATGCTGTTTTTTGGTTAACTTTTTATTTATCAAAGGATCCTGAAAAAAAAAAAAAACAGTTTTCAACATTGATAATAACAAGACATTTCTGAAGATTTCTGAAGGATCATTTGACTCTGAAGACTGGAGTAATTATGCTGAAAATTCAGCTTTGCATCCCATGAATAAATGATTTTTAAAATAATTTAATAATCAAAGCAATTATTTTAATATTTTAAATTGTAATATATATATATATATATATATTAGTAATGTACGTTTTCATAACAACAGCTAATTCATTAAGGGCGATCTATAAGTTAGTCAAATTAACGTTATTATATTTTGTATTTTAGTATAACAACACAAATGTTGTATTGAAAATCAGCATTCAGGACTGGCATTATTTGTAATATAATAGGCAACACAACTCCGTTTTCACGAATAGAGATGACAATCATAGGAAATTCAGATTATGATTGCATACAATTTTTATAGTTGTTTTAGATTCTTGTAGTAATTTTATGGAAGGAAGAATGGACAATGTTTGACAAGCAATATTTCATTCACTATCCTCAAAAGAATGTTACATTTTTAGATAATACTTTTTGAATAGAACAATATCAGAACAAAGTTACACAAATTCATCAAATCCTTGGGCTCGTTGCCGTCATGGAAAAGCACATCTCTATTACATGCTGATCATTTCCATTGATCTCTTCATCTGAAAATATTAAGCATTAATATTAAGCATATTAAGCGCACAACTGTTGTTTCTAAATGTTTCTTGAGGAGCAAATCAGCATATTAGAATGATCATGTGACACTGAAGACTGGAGTTATGATGCTGAAAATGTAGCTTTTTAAAATATATTAAAATAGAAAAGTTATATTAATGTGACATCATTACTGTTTTTACTGTATTTTGATCAAATAAATACAGCCTTGGTGAGCATAAGAGACTTCATTCTGATTTGTTGTTCTGTTGAGTTCAGAAATGATCCCATATCCTTATCTTGAACAAGAATCACACTCGAAAGCTGATCGGTTATTCACAGTAATAGAAAAGAAGATTCTAGCTGATTGTCATGACAACGGCTCTTTTGCTTCTATTTTTGTTTATGGTTTTCTGTCCCCATTTGGCATACCAAAAACTGTTAGTGGAGCCAAAAGTCATGAAAATGATTCAGTTCCAGTATTTTTGTAAAAAAATAAATACAAATTACCGATTCTGAATAAGAAACAGTTTAAGATTGCAAAACATACAGTATGACCAAGAACTGAGGCCTCAGATGAATCCATAAGTAAAATATACTTGACTTTAATGGACATATTACATAATAAGAACTGTAAAATCAGCTGAGTTGAGGCTGTGCACCAGGAGAGGGATCAGGAGGAGCGATTTTGAGATTTGAGGTCTGACGTTCAGGATCGCGAAGAGACCGAAAAAAAACTGATGAGATTGAAAGTGCAGAGAATAGAATGGATGTGAAAGGTGAGGGGAAGGAAAATACTCTCATAAAAAAGAGAGAGGCAGAGAGATGGATAAATGCACTGTTTGATTTATGTAAAAGAGTTGCGTGGGTGCAAGGCGAGAGAACTGTATGGCTGTGATAGTGTGTGTGTGTGTGTGTGAGAGATGTGAGCTTCAGAGATTGAGAGAGAGAGACAGATTGCATTGGCTGGAAAGACAGTGGGTATTTACACTGAGATTTATGGGAAGGTTATCACAGCATCGAGCAGGAGAGACTGATGGTTTGATGGTTGAGCACTGCTTCTTTCAGTCTTTTCTCCTCCCAGCACCTCTACGTTCATTAAGCCGCCCATTCATTTGTTTCTGTTGGTCTTATTTTAATGACTTCACATTCCTGAGCAATAGTCGTGTCTATAGCTCCGCCAATGACTGCGCTTCTGTATCCGGTGCTTACTCAAGGACGCCAGTCAATAAGCACTTTGTTTGCAAGTGCCTGTCTCTTGTGCCTGCAGTTAGACTGTTTTATTTCTCATTGTTTTGCCATTTTCTTTGGTCCAAAATGAACTTTTACCACGTCTGCCAATAGCAATTGAATTGAGAAAATGTACTGGCCAAACATATAGCATGAACGTGTATTGTAGATTATTTGTATTATCTTTATTTTTGTTTGAAATAAATCAATACTTTTATTCAGCAAGGATGCATTAAAATTGTTCAAAAGTGACAGACATGTATAATGTTACGAAAGATTTACATTTCAAATAAATGACATTTTAAAATAGAAAACAGTTAGTTGAAATTGTAATAGAGTTTTGCAGTTTTTACTATTATTTTGATCAAATAAATGAATAAATATAATGAATTCTGGGGTAGGCAAGGCCGCGAAGGATCCATCAGTTTTATCCTTCTTCACCCGTGAAACAAGGGACGCATTTCGAGACCAGATTTGAAGGAGCCTTCGAATTGGGACAGCCTTCGTTGCACACACGCACATTGAGCTTGTTCTTTTCCTTTTAATGGCGGTTGTGACCAATCGTGGCGAATTCTGTGGTCGTGGCTACAAAACAGTGGTGCTACGTCGTACAGTGAGAGAGATTCAAAGATGGCCGTTGTCACGGTCTTGCGACCAAAGATAGAAGTCATAAATTTAGGATGATCATCTCACAGTGTGTTTGCTGCTACGACCTACGTCTACTGACTAGCCTATAAAAATTAAGTTGGCCTCTGTTCCCTAGCCATGACTGCATCCATATTCTCCTTTTTCGCTTCCTAATCTTTTTTCAGTTCGCATAAAAACCACCAAAGTGCGATTCATCTTGCTCTATTTGTTTTCTACTAGTGCATGCTGGTGACTTTTTATTCTTCTATATTATCGATTCAATAGTGTCATCATCGTACAGTCTATATACAGTACATGTCGTACCCAAGTTTATTAGATCCATGTCGTACAGTGTGATTTGTAATGATCTTTTAGAAATGTAGCAGGCATTAGGATAGCTAATATAGATCAGCCCTAATACCTATCCTTGAGATCCTTTTTAGCTATTTCCCTTGCATATTTCTTGGCCACAGATCAATGGCTCTGTTCTAAATTGAAACTCATACTGTAAGTGATTTGGAATAACAATTCTGTAAACATATACATAATCAATAAATATCCTTAAATGGATTGCATTATATTAATTAATAATAATATTTGTTGTAATTAAATTGTTTATAGTTATTGACATTTCTTTTGCTCGGACCATTTTAAATGGAATTATTCTTGTTGAAATGCATTATGGGATTGCCTTCAGCACAACAGCTAAAAGAAGGTATCTTACCTTTTGGAACAGCCCTTGCATTGGGAATGCTGCCTACATTGGCAGTCAACTTGGTTTTGGGACAGGGCCATATAGTGTCACTCGCAGCATCATATACGAGATGAGCCAGACTCCGTCTCTCAGTGAAATGCAACCTGGCACAACAATGTAAAGAAAAGCCACATTGATTTTATCGCACAAATTGTTGTTTCGGTGGTTTAATGTGATGAACATTATAAGTAGCTATAAATATGTCTTTCCATGATAAATATTTTTCACTAAAAGTTGTGCGATTCAAGACCGATGTCACTGACTGAATTGTGATCTAATGTGCATTAGGTTGCACACTGGCAAGTAACAGCCAATTTTCACTTTTTTTAGTTTAATTATTATTATTTTTTTTAAGTAAAGAATAGCTGGTTTCACTGGTGATGTGAAGGTGGTCTTACATTTTATACTGATACCTACTGGCATATAGATAGAGCATCTTTGATTACCAATGCATTTGTAAAAAAAAATACCCTATTAACAGGTATATTTCATGATTTATTGAATCTACACCTTGAAAGTATAAAGAAAATACTGTCAACATGATGAACATCCTTATATAAAATAAAACAACTTTTGAAAAATGTTTGACAAAAATATGATTTCTTTTAGCTTGATTTAGATTTCTTTTCTTTTCTTTCTTTTCTTTTTTGGGAAAAAAAATATTATTGATTTGTATTTAAATAATAATTTAATTTAAGTAAAATTTATTAATTTTCATTATTGGGTGATTGGTTTTATATATAAAATATTTTATATTTTTATTATATATATATATATATATATTTATATTTATCTCTTTTTTTTTGTTTGTTTCAGTAATTTTAGTAATTCAAATTTTCATTTTCATTTCAGCTGTTTTACGTTTTGTTTTGTTTTTTGGTAAATGTTTGAAGAGAAAAACTGGGCAGCATCATACATTAAAAGACTAAGGATCACACACTAGCAGACTTTCATGTCGTTCCGAACACAACAAACTCACACAGAAGTGTGTGCCACTTTGCTAGGAGACGCATGACAAATGAAAACAATATGTATTCTAAAATCGGCTCAAAATATCAAACATATTTGATGACTGGATGGAATCATAGTCTGAAGCTTGAAAATCTGAGTCTGTGCCCTTCATATTCTATGCGATTTTCTGGGAAATCTGTCAGCTCCGACTGCTGTATCCTGCAGACTAGCGCAGACTTTTGGCAACTAGCATAATGATACTTTCAGACTGCAAATCGGGACTGAAATCTGTGCAAAAGTCATGTAGTGTATTCCAGTCATGATTATTGCATAAACATTACTTAGTACCATCAAATTCCCTCAAAATACATAGTATTAAATAAAAAATATTATTGAACAAAATATATTACATTTATTTCACCTAAAGGTTTGTTAGGTTTGTTCTGACACTTTTATCGCTCTCTCTTTCAGAAAACGCTCGACTCCGGCGGAAGAGCATTGCCACCGGGAAGCAGCCAAGCATGGAGATCCCACCCACTGCCCCCCCACAACCCTTCCGACAATCCGTGAGTACCCCACCGTTCCGTCCCAGATCCCTCTCTCCCTCCCTATCCCTCTCGCTCCCGTTCGCCCCTCTGCCCCTGTCGCCCTCTCTCTCCCCGTCTCTCTCACACAAGAGAGTGAGCACCCCTCCGCTCCCTCGCTCCCTCCCTCTCTCCCCGACCGTCTCTCTGACTCTCCCTCCCTCAGTGCCGCTCTCTCACTGGGCTGCTGGTGAGTGGAAGCTTGTGGGTTCTAATCCAGGGACTGGACCCAGTTTGGCGGCACAACCCTCTCTTGAGGTACGTTATCTAACAGCTGAGCTGTCTCTGACACAGCTTCTGCTGGGGGTTCGAGCGGCCGGCGTGCGGTTTGGAAGTGTTAGACAAACAGTTAGTCACGCAGGAAGCAATCATGTTTATCTGTTCTTTAGCCAATGATTGAGTCATTATGTCTGAGTTCATCAGATATAAAGAACAACTTCTTTGCGATTAAACGTTTTTGTCCATTTAATAATAGGCTGAAACAAGTTATGACTTTTGTTTAGTGTCTTGTTTCAATTCAAATGCGCAGGGGTTTGAGCAACATGGCAAATACTTCAAATTGAAAAAATGACAATGTACCACTGAAACTACATTGTTACTTTTTGCGACAAAGTAGTATTGACATTTTTGTCCCTCTGGTGCTCTTTGGTCACTTTTCCTTGATTGTTTTTGTGTTCACAAAGCAAATGCCAGAAAAGTCACCAAGTGTCATACCATTCTGATTAAGTGTAAATTAATTTTTTGTCACAAGTGACCGAAAAACACCAGAAGGTCAACCCTACCTTTTCACTACTTTCAAGCAAAGAGCAACAATGTTGGATTGTATTTTGACAGAATCTGTAGTTGCAGTGGTACAGAAAAAAATTTGTGGTACAGAAGAAAAAAAAAATTCGAAAAAAAAATTCAAAAAAAAAAAAAAAAAAAATTTTTATAAATGTTTTACTTCATTGGAATGCTATGACACTTAGTGACTTGTGTGGTACTTGCTACTGTATGTGAAAAAAAAGAACATGATTTGAAAAGGTTAAATGGTCCTAATTATTGTCATAGGTTAAATGGTCATAATTATTGCATAAATATTACTCAGTACCATACAATTCCCTCAATTATTGACTTATTGTTGAACAAAAATATATTACATTTATTTTACCTGGAAAAAAATTTACATTTGAGGTGTTTGGCCACTTGACTAGGAGGAGTATGAGTGTGTCCACTAAATGTGGAGCACCAGAGGGTTTCAAATAAAGCTTCCAAAAGGGGGTTTTCGCAGCGATGCCATAGAAAAAACATGTTTGTTTCCCCAAAGAATCTTACAGTGAACAGTTCTTCAAAGAACATAAAGAACCTTTTGAGCATTGGAAATGTTCCATGGATGTTAAAAGTCCTTCATGGAACCATCAATGCCAATTTATTCTTAAGAGTGTGAGCAAGACGACTTTTGTTTAGTGTCCCGGTTTAATGAAATGAAAATGTAAATCTGCCAAAAATGCCATTGCTACTGCACAAGCATAACAAATTATTATGGGATCTCATTTGGTTTTGATGATTCTGGTGGCAAACTAAGTTACCCTAGTTTTATTGTACTAAGAACTATGGGCCAGATTTACTAACAGCTTACGCCAGTGTAAAACCTCTTTTGCCGTTAAAAAACTACTGTCATTATTGATTAAATATACACAGTGAAAAATTAGCGCTGAAAAGGTGTGGACACAGTCATTTTTTAGGCTGATCTTGTTGCATGTGCATTGGTAAGAGTTTCCTTTAAGGTGCAAAATGTATGGGAGGAGATTATTTGAATGATTCATGTAAGGTGATTTAGTTGGGCTGAGCCTGGTCAGTAACTGGATGGGAGTGAGGCTAGTAGGGGGTCTGTGTGGGTCCTAACCCCCCAGTATAATGATGGGGACACTATACTCTCAAAAAGCACGGACCCTCGGATGAGACGTTAAACCGAGGTCCTGACTCTCTGGCCATAAAAGATCCCAGGATGTCCTTAGAAAAAGAGTTGTGGTTTAACCTCGGCGTCCTGGCCAAATTTCCCAATTGGCTTCTGTCCATCATCATTGCCTTCTAATCATCCTCATATATACTGATTGGCTTCATCACTCTGTCTCCTCTCCACTAATAAGCTGGTGTGTTAAATGTAGCGAATTATTATTATTATTACTAAGGTTTGCGCTAGTCAATTTACTGGTTCAGTTAGTTTATCTGTTCTGAGTGGTTGTTAATGCATTGCAATGAGGTGAATGTTCTTGGTGGCTTCTAACAAACGTCAGACCAGAAGTCATTCATTTCCAGCATACTGGAGCTCTGTGGAGTTCTGATCATCTCCGTATGCGGAATTTTCGGATCTGATTTGAATCCGCTTTTGCGGCTAGACCGTACATGACTGCCAGACTGAATGTGATGTTTTCTAATCAAAACTATGCAAAAGAGTGTGAAAATTGCCAATATTTACTTTTCTTCATACACAATTTCTCTAAAATGGGCAGTTTTGAATAATTATGTCCGAAATAATCATTTTAGAATTATTACACAATTATTTACATTGATGAGTTCTAGAAAATGCACTATGCTTATCTTTCAGATATACTGACGGTGATTTGTTTTGTATATACATTCATTATTCATTCATTATACCATGGTGAAAAAGTGAAGGGTCACTGCTGCTTCTCAACCAATCTGAAAGTTCTGTTCGCCTGCCACTAGGGGGACAAAATGCGACAATCGTACTCGAATGTCAGAGATAGTGGGAAGGCGGTTTCATTGAAAGTGACAAAAAATGCCCCAGATAATTAAAATATAGCGGCCGTAAATGCTCCTTGTTCTATAATTGATTTAGTTGGAGTATTTGACATAATTAATGGCCCACTGTGTTTTTGTGTGGTTCGAAAAATAGAAGTAATCTATAGAAAAGCAACTACAAATCAGTTTTAAGTATTGTCTGTTAAAGGTGCAGAAAGCAATTTCTGAGAAATTCTGTTGAAAGTGGATCGGGCCGAGATCTTCAACACACTTGCAGACAGTCAGCAGTAGGGAGTGTTTCCACTCATGATTGGGGAGGAGAGAGAGTGAGCCAATCAGCAGTAGGGGGTGTGTCCACTCATGATGGGGGAGTAGAGAGAGTAAGCCAATAAGCAGTAGAGAGTGTATCCACTCATTATGTGGGAGTATAAAGAGTGAGCCAATCAGCAGTAGTGAGTGTATCCACTCATGATGGGGGAGGAGAGAGAGTGAGCCAATCAGCAGTAGGGGGTGTGTCCACTCATGATGGGGGAGTAGAGAGAGTAAGCCAATAAGCAGTAGAGAGTGTATCCACTCATTATGTGGGAGTATAAAGAGTGAGCCAATCAGCAGTAGTGAGTGTATCCACTCATGATGGGGGAGGAGAGAGAGTGAGCCAATCAGCAGTAGTGAGTGTATCCACTCATGATGGGGGAGGAGAGAGAGTGAGCCAATCAGCAGTAGTGAGTGTATCCACTCATGATGGGGGAGGAGAGAGAGTGAGCCAATCAGCAGTAGGGAGTGTATCCACTCATGATGGGGGAGGAGAGAGAGTGAGCCAATCAGCAGTAGGGAGTGTATCCACTCATGATGGGAGAGGAGAGAGAGTGAGCCAATCAGCAGTAGGGAGTGTATCCACTCATGATGGGGGAGGAGAGAGAGTGAGCCAATCAGCAGTAGGGAGTGTATCCACTCATGATGGGGGAGGAGAGAGAGTGAGCCAATCAGCAGTAGTGAGTGTATCCACTCATGATGGGGGAGGAGAGAGAGTGAGCCAATCAGCAGTAGGGAGTGTATCCACTCATGATGGGGGAGGAGAGAGAGTGAGCCAATCAGCAGTAGTGAGTGTATCCACTCATGATGGGGGAGTAGAGAGTGTGAGCCAATCAGCAGTAGTGAGTGTATCCACTCATGATGGGGGAGGAGAGAGAGTGAGCCAATCAGCAGTAGAGAGTGTATCCACTCATGATGGGAGAGGAGAGAGAGTGAGCCAATCAGCAGTAGAGAGTGTATCCACTCATGATGGGAGAGGAGAGAGAGTGAGCCAATCAGCAGTAGGGGGTGTGTCCACTCATGATGTGATCATGGGGGAGGAGAGAGAGTGAGCCAATCAGCAGTAGGGGGTGTGTCCACTCATGATGTGATCATGGGGGAGGAGAGAGAGTGAGCCAATCAGCAGTAGGGGGTGTGTCCACTCATGATGTGATCATGGGGGAGGAGAGATGCAAGAGGGAGATTTAAAGAAAGAGTGTAGAAAGAGAGATGGCTGAGAGACATTACAAAAGAGAAAAGGTCAGAAGAATATCACTGGAAAAAGAAGGTTTTTGATCAGGCAAGATCAAAAACCTAAGAGGGAAGACCTGAAAATGGATGCCAAGGTTGCGTTGTTTCTGCTCCATACGTGAGGTACATTGGTTTTGCTGTTTCACAGAACCAAGATGTGCTGTTGCTGACATGTTAGCTGTAGTAACAGGGCAGTTTTGAGTGTCATTGTTTGTCTGGAGCTGGTGTGCTGCTGGTGACTAACAACAAACTTGTATATACTCTTGTGTACTGTGTGTTCATTTTTTGTTTTTCCTTGTCATTTGTTCGTCATCCTCACTGTATTTTTCACTAAGTATATTTTTTTTTGCTTTGCTTTAGCTATAGAGACATCCACTCTTGCATTGTGTGTTTGTTATTTTGGGGGCAGAGCAGTGAAGCGAGGGGTGTGTTTGTTTGGGTTGATTTCAAATATCAACAGGGTTTCTCAGAAATGGCTTTCTGCACCTTTAATTAAAAAAAAAAGTTAATTTCTAATCCCAGTTGCAATATGGTTGCTTACTGATTGCGAGGCAGCAAAGTTTCAGGTATACAGGTTTTAGGCTTTGGATCTGTGTAAATGAAATGCCATTATCTAAATAGAAGGTTTTCAAAATGTAATTTGAGCTTTCTTTGTAAGTATAAACTTTACAAAAACTAAAAAGTAGATAGCACATGAAACAAATGTTGAATAAAAGTTGGTTGAGCAGTTTGGGCTGAATTAATTGCATAAGTTTAATACTAAGGGTTTGTAGTGCATAATAAACCACTAAACAGAATGTCTGAGGAATATCAATACACTGCTGCCTTACACTGTAATTATCACTGAGCAAATGAGCTTTCACAGCTTCATCTGCTGTGTCTAAACATTCTTCTGGTGATGAGTTGTGTTTTCAGGTTATCTAAGATTGCACGTCTTATGAACGCATTACGTACACAGTGAGATTTGACATGATTTTACTCTGTTGTGGCGTGAACCTCTTGCCTGCTGTTGCCAGTATGTTCTTACTGTAGGCGTCGGGAAATATTTATGAAGCAATACTTCCCACTATTGGTTGACTGTGGATAGTGCAACATTGCCAGAGTGTTTTGCCACGAGCAAGGGAATATAATTTCAGTCAGTTGCACCACAATTTTACATCTGCTCATCTAATTAATGTTACAATAATTTATATTATTAATAATAATAAAATATTGTTTAATGTTTATATATAAACAACTACATTTTTGTCCTTTTAATATAATAATAAATATATTAATAAAAATGTTTTAAAATATATAAAACATTTTTTTTTACATCTGCTCAATGTTATAATATTTTATATTAATAATAATAAAAATAATAAATAATTATTTTGTCTATATATATATTTTTTAAGATATATGCAACATTTTTACTTTAGTCCAATTAAATGTTTTAATAAAACAATACATATAATAAATAATATTAAATATATATATATATTATAATTATAAGATTTTTTATTATAAATTATTAAATAAATGATACTGTACTCCATTTTTTGTCTTGGTAAAGATGAAACTTGTATTTTTTCAATGTTAAAATATTTTACATGTAAAGTATAAATGTGTGTTTTATATGGTTAGATGTTTTTTATAGCCCTCATAAGGTTTAAAAAAATGCATGCCCTTACAAATCATGTGAACAAACATTGCCTATTATTAAGTTTTCAAGTGTCAGACTATGCAATCCAAATGATCAATTCCTTAGGTTTGTTGTCTGTTGTCATGCATATTAATTCTGAGTCTGTTCTTTTTCTCAGAGTTTCCTCAGTAGAAGACTGAAGGGGTCCATTAAACGGGCCAAGAGTCAGCCCAAACTGGACCGAACCAGCAGCTTCCGCCACATGATCCTCCCTCGTTTCCGCAGCGCCGACCAGGACCGGTACCGTCCAAACTCTTCCTCCCATAAACGCATGCTGTCTCATGATATTCCAGTGAATGAGTATTGTACAGTCATAATGGTATAGTTCACTCAAAAATGACACCCTGTGAAACAACAACACCTCACTTTTCCAATGGTTTGGTGGTGAATTATACTGTTAAACTCCAAAAACGCACCATTAAAGCATCATAAAAATCAATCAAATGACCGGTGCACTATAATTCCTGACCTGAAATTGAAGTAATTCGTTTATAGTGCATGAGTCCTTTTGTGTTGCAGAAGAGAATGAAAATAATATAAAATCGTTATAAAATAGAGGTCAGCGAATCATCATTTTTGGATGAACTGCTCCATTAAACGCTGGTTTTCACTCCAGTTTAATATCTCTTAATATCTGCAACGTCCTCTGGCTCCTTATTCTTCTTCTTCAAGCATCCAGACAGGTGCTGAGGTGCTCTTTTAATGTTTTTTTCATTCATTTATTCATGCTCCGAGCTCTAAGCTCACCCACGGTCAGCCTGTGTTCTTTGAGAAAAAGGCAGGTTGTGGTTTTTGAAGTTCTTGCTCCGTTTGGACAGGGAAGTGCTCCGGTGACGTTTCCTTTTCAAAGAGGAAGTTTCCGCTGTGCTGTATCTTTGAAATTAAGGCCGTGCTGCCGTTTTGAGTAATTCAAACAGACAACTCCGCTTTCATATAATCGTTTGATTCAGCCCTTAACTGGAATCGTTGTGAGCTGGATTGTCGTGTGACGCACAAATGCGTCTAACAGCTGGAGTGACAGTGTGCGGTGCGGAATTTCAGTGCTGTGAACGGTATCTCATGGAAAGGCGTCGTTTCTTCTGCTCCCTTTCATTTTGGGATGTAATTGTGATGTGATCCACCTGGTCTCAAATAGAACTGGTTGTCAGGATGATTTAAATCCACAAATCCAAAATGCCAGCAAAAAATGCACTGGAATTTTGAGTACTAACCTCACTTATCTTTTGGATTTGACTGACTGCGTCCCAAAAGCTTGTTTGTGTAGTTGTGAATGACATACTTTGTCCAAATTCTGTCCTAATTTCCTCACCCTAATGTCGTTCCAAACCCAAAATGAGGGTCTTTGGAAATGTCCAAGCAGTTCTTTTCCATGCAAACGAAATCATTTATCTTGTCAGGCTCAATAAAAGCTCCTTAAAAGTGGCTTGTATGATAGCTTAGTGCGATGAACAGACTGAAATGTAAGTCATTGTTCGTCTCCGTTACTAAGTACATTGCTTTCCGAGAAGAATAATAATCCCCTTTTTTTTTTTTCATCTAGCTTCCTGCACATGAGTCTCCGTCCTCACCTGCTCAAAAGCCAAACCTAATGGAAAAAAATGAAATGTACAATACATTTTAAACATACAAGTTCAAACATATAAAATCAAATGCACCCTGCTGATTAGTTTGAGATTTCATTCCGATATAATTGACAAAAATGCTATTAGAAGACAAGACTGCATTTAGTTGATCAAAAATACAGTAAAACCAGTAATATTCCTGGTCCTGGGCTGTTTCTTCTAGTCCGTCACTGTTAGATGTCTGACACCATTGACATCAAACCCGGGGAGAATCGAGAGTCTCTAAACATGATATACAGTGCGTGAAGCATCATGACTACATTTACAATACTTTTATGGTGCTTTAATGTTATTTTGAAGCTCGACAGCCCCTTGGTCACTATATGTCTTCGTTCGTTGTATGGACAAAAGATGCTTGGACATTCGGCTCAACAACACCAACGAGTAAATGATGACAGAATTGTCGTTTTTCATCTCTGTCCTGTTGTCCTCTTGTTACTGCTGGATCTCTGTCCTTCGTTCGGTCTGTCTTTGTCTTATTCCTTTCAGTTCCCATGGTTTATGTAACATTTGATTTCCTCTGAGAAGTCTCTCACTGTCTCACTACTCTCAATGTCTTCCTCTCTCTCTCTCTCTCTCCCTCCTCCACTCGCTCTATCATTTCTTTCATTCTGACTCACTCCTTTGGGTCTATATTTATACCTTCCATCTCTTTCGCTCTGTCTCTCTCTCTCTCTCTCCCACACTGTAACGCTGTGAGGCTGTATGTATACATATACAGTGATTCTCCGAAGACGCAGGAGAAGCGATCCATCACTAGTAGGGATCTAACAATTTATCACACTTTTTCTCTTGATATTTATATAATTGTACTTCTCGATAAGCTTGTGAATCTTCTCTTCAGCTGTTTTAAGGGTTTGTGGCTCTAAACTGCGAAGTGAGTGTGTGTGGGTGTTTGCAGGTACAGTGGGGTAAAGGTGTATGTTGTTTATGCAGTGTAAAGTTGCTCGCATTTGTGCTGAGACTGATTAGAAACGTATGCAAGTAAAGACTTTTTCACTTTTAAGAATTCTCGAATTCATGAAACTATACACTTAACGACACGTTCGCTCATGTTATTTCAGGGCAAAAACTTTCCTCCTTTTCGCTAATGGAAGCTGTTTTTTACTCTGCGAGTTATAAAGTCTGTTTTAAGGGGAAAAGACAGGGTTTTTTTTTCCGAAGTGCAAGTTTATATCTCACAATTCTGACTTTATAACTCGCAATTGCGAGGAAAAAAGTAAGAATTGTGAGATAAAAAGTCGCAATTACCTTTTTTATTTTTATTCAGTGTCTGAAACAATCTTCTATACAATCCAGGTTAACCAAGTGCAAAAATTTAAATCAAAGGTTTTTTATATAAATTAGGCTAATTTTAGAAAAATATTTGTTTTTTTTAACGTTGAACTTTGAAAGTTAAACTAAGGAAAGCAGGTGGAAACAGAATTTTATTGAAAAGTGATGATTGTGTAAATTCTTCATTTATCAAAGTAAAAAAAAAATGTATATGGATACGAAGTGTAATTGAGTGCGCTTTCAGCTTTTTCAAAATCGAAAATCATGATGTGCAAAATTGCGTTCAACACTATTCATTCTTCAGTAAATTCTCCCCAAGTGTTCAAACCCTCATGATTTATCTCACGGTTGATGAGAGGCTGATGTCGTTGTCCATAAACCACAAAGAAAGGACTTCCAAAAAAACATGACTTCTGTAATGTCAAATGAAATACTGACCTCGTCATGTAGGCGTGTGATGTAAGCGCAACCTGTGAGCCTCTTCTCTCTCAGACATGCTGTTATTGCTCCCTCACAGGACTCGTCTGATGCAGAGCTTCAAAGAATCGCACTCCCATGAGTCTTTGCTGTCTCCCAGCAGCGCAGCCGAGGCCTTGGATTTGACACTTGATGAAGATGCGATCATCAAGCCTGTTCACTCCAGTATACTGGGACAGGAGTACTGTTTTGAGGTGATCTTTAGCAAACTATACACTTTAGACTCATAACTTGCATGCTCAGAAAATCGATGAGATGTTTATTAAAAAATTGCATTTTATTTTTTAATTTAATACAGTTCTGATGGAGCTATTTTAAATGTACATATTTAAAATAATAACCGAATTTATGCACATTTTCCTGTTCAAATGTTCACACACTTAGTGTTCACATTTCTTAAAACCATGTGTTGCTCCCTCAACCGTCAGTGTCTGTCTGTCTGTCTATCTATCTATCTATCTATCTATCTATCTATCTATCTATCTATCTATCTATCTATCTATCTATCTATCTATCTATCTATCTATCTATCTATCTATCTATCTATCTATCTATCTATCTATCTATCTGTGTGTCTGTCTGTCTGTCTGTCTATCTGTCTGTCTGTCTGTCTATCTATCTGTAGATCTATCTATCTATCTGTCTGTCTATCTATCTATCTGTCTGTCTGTCTGTCTGTATATCTATCTGTAGATCTATCTATCTTTCTATCTATCTGTCTGTCTGTCTGTCTGTATATCTATCTGTAGATCTATCTGTAGATCTATCTATCTATCTATCTATCTATCTATCTATCTATCTGTCTGTCTGTCTGTCTGTCTGTATATCTATCTGTAGATCTATCTGTAGATCTATCTGTAGATCTATCTGTAGATCTATCTATCTATCTATCTATCTATCTATCTATCTATCTATCTATCTATCTATCTGTCTGTCTGTCTGTCTGTCTGTCTGTCTGTATATCTATCTGTAGATCTATCTATATCTATCCATCTGTCTGTCTGTATATCTATCTGTAGATCTATCTATCTATCTGTCTGTCTGTCTGTATATCTATCTCTAGATCTATCTGTAGATCTATCTGTAGATCTATCTATCTATCTATCTATCTATCTATCTATCTATCTATCTATCTATCTATCTATCTATCTATCTATCTATCTATCTATCTATCTATCTATCTGTCTGTCTGTCTGTCTGTATATCTATTTGTAGATCTATCTATCTATCTATCTATATGTCTGTCTGTCTGTCTATCTGTCTGTCTGTCTGTCTATCTATCTGTAGATCTATCTATCTATCTGTCTGTCTATCTATCTATCTGTCTGTTTGTCTGTCTGTCTGTATATCTATCTGTAGATCTATCTGTATATCTATCTATCTATCTATCTGTCTGTCTGTCTGTCTGTCTGTATATCTATCTGTAGATCTATCTATCTATCTATCTATCTATCTGTAGATCTATCTATCTTTCTATCTATCTGTCTGTCTGTCTGTCTGTCTGTATATCTATCTGTAGATCTATCTGTATATCTATCTATCTATCTATCTATCTATCTATCTATCTATCTGTCTGTCTGTCTGTCTGTATATCTATCTGTAGATCTATCTATCTATCTATCTATCTATCTATCTATCTGTCTGTCTGTCTGTATGTCTGTATATCTATCTGTAGATCTATCTATCTATCTATCTATCTATCTATCTATCTATCTATCTATCTGTCTGTCTGTCTGTCTGTCTGTCTGTATATCTATCTGTAGATCTATCTATCTATCTATCTATCTATCTATCTATCTATCTATCTATCTATCTATCTATCTATCTATCTATCTGTCTGTCTGTCTGTATATCTATCTGTAGATCTATCTATCTATCTATCTATCTATCTATATCTGTCTGTCTGTCTGTCTGTATATCTATCTGTAGATCTATCTATCTTTCTATCTATCTATCTATCTATCTATCTATCTATCTATCTATCTATCTATCTATCTATCTATCTATCTATCTATCTATCTTTCTATCTATCTATCTGTCTGTCTGTATATCTATCTGTATATCTATCTGTAGATCTATCTATCTATCTATCTGTCTGTCTGTCTGTCTGTCGTCTCAATTCAGTTCTGTATGGCACATAAGACATAACCACGTCTATCTGATTTTTTGAATTTCCCTTAGTGCAACTAGTGGCATATAAATCACACATTTCACTTTAAAGCATTTAATGCATGACTATATTAGCCCCAGTGCCCTGTGGAATTTTGTTGTTTTTTTCTTCTAATTACACTGATGGTTGAAATAGTGAAACTCATTATTCCTTTCCTTAGGTGACAACTGCTTCAGGAACAAAGTGTTTTGCCTGTCGGTCGGCTGCGGAGAGAGACAAATGGATAGAGAATCTACAGAGAGCTGTCAAACCAAACAAAGTGAGTGTAAAGAAGAAAAAGCAAAGAGGAACTCTCTATTTCTCTCTCCTCTTCTTCCATGACTGCACCAATCTACTTCAGTAACAACCTCTTCTGTCATTTTCATCTTTACACTCATTTTACCCTCTACTGGTGTTTTTAGGAGTATCAAATGAACTTCAAACTGCTTCCATGTGCTATTCTGCCACATAATGAAACAAACTCCTATTTTAATCTGGTATGCTAAGATGTATCCCAAAGGCCAATGCAGAATACTGAATGTTCCTTCTTCAGACATCTATTATCTCTCATGTTGGCTGTGTCTGTTGTGTGGATTGACTCGTCCAGATGTTCAGGCAGCGGGATTTTGGGCTGAATCGTGGAGAACATGACACAGGCGTCCAAAAATGATCAGCCTGCTCAGTCTTGCAACAGATGCGTTGTCAATATTACAATAAATGAGGACAGACCAAGGGTGTTCATTAGTTTGGTTTATTAGCTGATTGGTTTCAGAAGTTTCCGAAGTGATAGAAAAAGCTGAGTAGTTCATAGCAAACCAATGAAGCACTCACTGGCAAAAAAAAACACAATTTGAACATATGGTACCATGGGAATACCATTTTCTTTCTTTTTTTACGTTTACCATCGTTTCTTTTACATAGTCACAGATGGAGTCACAGTCAAAACGGGAAAGCTCTAATCAGAATTGTTATGTAACTTACTTCTGGGATTTTCCACAGTTTTTACCAGTCACCCTTTACAAGGTACAATGTGCTTTGTGTGGATTTTCGTGATAATCGGAGCAACGGCCTAGGAGGAGTTTGAAAAAGTAGAGTTCTCGGAGAATTCAAAATGGCGGACAGATTTCATGACGAAAATGACATCATAGGGTGCAATTTTGTTTCTAGCCCGTACGGTTCAAAAGTTATTAGCATAAACATGAGTGAAATTTTGGACAGTTGGTGGCGCTAGAGGGATTGAGTTAGAGACTCCAAATTTGCTATGGTGACAGGTCAGACTATCCTCTATCTGTGTGCCAAATTTCATAATTTTCCCACAAGCGGTTCTATGGGCTGCCATAGACTCCCAGAGTGGAAGAAGAAGGAAGAAGAATAATAAGAACGCCAACGATTTCAATAATCGATTTCAACGATTTCACCTTCGGTGCTTGGCATAATAAGAATAAAATTATTATTTGAAATTTATTATTTCAGGATGTGCTGAAATTCAGATCACACATTTTTTGCACTGTATTTTTGGTACACTGAATTGACATTATTTTGATGCATTTCCACATAATCAATTTGTCTACTGTCATGGATGACAGATTTATCCGCTTATGAACAGCATGCAAAAACAGAATGAACTGTGATTGGTTGCTTTTTGTCAGTTTGGCTATGTAAAACTATCTTTGAAGAACCATGGAGTACCATGGTACTGTATATGAATATGGTAATCATTCAGTAACATGGTATAAATATATATACACCATAGTATTACCACCTGAGAGACCATCACTGTAGCATATTAACGTCACTATATTTTTTAATAAAAGGGCTGGAGCTTTTGAAATCTGTTTTTAAGGGTATATTACTATAAATGCCAGTAGAAAACGAATGTTCCAGGGCCATTTTGATGAGTCTGAATGACTCATCTTTCTCTGAAACATCATTGTCTATGACCACTCCAGCACTTTAGACATGCAGTAGGTGTTAGACTAACAGTAATTCAAATCATTATCCTTTCTAAAGCACTGCCACCCTCAAACTTGCAGTCTCTCCTGTCTGTCCGCATGCTTGACTGTACATTTAAAGTTCTGCAAACCCTCTCACCACCATCACCTATAGTTTATATATGATGCAAATATGATTCTGTGTTTCCCACACTCAGGACAACAGTCGACGCGTCGACAATGTTCTGAAGCTGTGGATCATCGAGGCCCGTGAACTCCCACCCAAAAAGCGCTATTATTGTGAACTGTGCTTGGATGACATGCTTTACGCCCGCACCACCAGCAAACCCCGAACCGATACTGTGTTCTGGGGTGAGCACTTTGAGTTCAACAACCTGCCAGCTGTCCGCAGCCTCCGCCTTCATCTTTACAAAGAGACAGATAAAAAAAGACGCAAGGTAAAAGACCACCTCGTGCTCTTTTGCTAGACACTCAATTCCTAATGAATACTTAAAGACTTGAGTTTTGTGGCTTTTTGTTCATACGTTAGACGTCTAGGCTAGTGTATTTGTAATGATACACTAGCATAAATTTTTTTTGATTAGTGACATTTTTTTTTTAGGTGCTTGGTAGCAAGTAAACTAGATATCCACAAACAGATTTGTTAAATAGTATGATAAAAAAATAATATAATAAGGGTGTATTCACACCAGGAAAGTCCGATAGTTCACTTGCTTTGGTCCGGAACAAATTATTATTTTTCTTTTTTTTTTGGTACGGTTCGCTTTCACACTGCTCTTTTTGCAAGTGAACCAAAATTTGTAAACAAAACCACACGTGTGCTAAGGTCGTCCATTCATTGGACAAGCATTCTCAAGTAGGGAAATCAGGAAGTGCAAAAAAGGCTCAGCATGAAGATATTTCGTACTGCAATATTTGTTATTTTACTAATTTTGTGTTATTCTGTACAAACGCAATATGAAGAAACTGCGCAGAAGACGGATAAGGTATAAAGTTTTCATTCATAGAGAGGGGCTATGTTCACACATTCAAATAATGAGATTCTTATTGTATATACTGCTAACAAGTGCTGTCAATGTTAACGCTTGCGATTAAGTTTGTCCAGTTTAACGCAGCGTCATCCTTGTAACTATTATATGAACTGCAAAAGCTTTTTTTGCATCTATGCGCGATTAGACTAAAGAGAACGCTCTGTATGTGAATGTCCTGATGCACACACTCATTCATTCATTCCATTCCAATGATACACACACGACGCGCAGAAAGACGCGCAACAGTATCGTGTGGCCAGACAGCGCGCCGGAATGGAATTCTCTTTCGCACTTGACAACAATAACACAAACCTTTATGCCAAAATCTCCGACTACGGAAGCCTGTTAACTCAAAGGTGCAGTGCTTTCTTGCAATTGGATCGGTTCATGTTCACACCGTAAACGAACCGTACCAGAGTTCGTTTGGAACCGTACCGTACTCTTCAGCTGGGTCTCGGTCCGGTTGTTTGGTCCGCACCCGAGTTCGATTGCTGTATTCACACCTGCCCAAAAGGTCCGCACCAAGGGGGGAAACGAACTAGAGTTCGATTCAATCGAACCAAACAAGGCAGGTGTGAATACACCCTTAATGTACATTTATATTATCCAAAAATATTCAATTATATAGAAGGGGTACATCCTGTTATTTTAAGGTGACTGATCATCATAATTTTTGTTCATTTCCTTCATCATAACAGGAAAAGAGCACATACCTGGGCTTGGTCAGCATCCCCATTTCCAGCATCACTGGTCGTCAGTTTGTGGAGCAATGGTACCCCGTCATTCAGCCCAGCGTCCTGGCCAAGGGTGGCGGTGTGGGAGGGGGCAAAATCATCAACGCCTCTCTGCGGCTCAAGTCACGCTTTCAGACCATGAGCATCCTGCCAATGGAGCTGTATAAAGAGTTTGCAGAGTATGTCACCAACAACTACAGAACGCTGTGCGCGGTTCTGGAGCCACTGCTGAGTGTCAAGAGCAAAGAGGAAGTGGCCTGTGCTCTGGTGCACATCCTGCAGAGCACAGGGAAGGCCAAGGTAGGACTTTGTTTCAATAATATATGTTTGTAAGAATGTTCAAATACTTGGTGAGCTGCCTATCTAGACAGGATTACATGATAGATACATGCTCCTGACGGAAAAGCTTGTCTAGGTGAGATTTTGGACATATTTTAAGTTGCAATAGCTTATATACTCTGCAACAAATGCAGTTGGGACAAGCTCAGTTACAGTTGATTATAAATATACTTTTGAAAAATTATTTTCAGATACCAATCGAATGCTTTCAGCTCCATTTAACTTGACCATGTTTAAATCCAGGACCTGCTAATATTTATTTTAACACTGAAAATTATTGAATAATGGTTTCATCTAATTAAAAATTGACTATTTTGCCTGATATTTGTGTATCTTGTGTATTTTATACATTTTTGGAGATTCGAAACATCAATAGCAACTTAGAATCCTGAAAATTCAGGATTCTGTGTGGTACACAGTATTATTTTACTAGTATTTATATACTATTATAGTATTTATTAATCATTTAAATTAACTTATTTTCATATATTAAGTTGTCATTTTAAATTGATTTTGTTTTAATAATTGTTTGTGCTTTTGTCATTTTTATTAGTTTATTAGTTTTTAAATATATAGCTTTAATTTACATATATTACTTTTATTTCACTTTTAGTTTTAGTAATTTTAGTACTTAAACTTAAATGCTTTACCAAAAAAACTTTTTTTTTTACTAGCTTTAGTTAGCAATAGCAAAACACTGGCACACAGAGTTGCTGCCTATCTAGGGCACTCCCAAGCAGTCACTTGTTTGGTTTTATCTTGATTTTTTTTATATGCAAGCAATTGTAAGTGATTACAGATGTATCTTCTTTTGCTCTGCACAAGGATTTTCTTTCAGACATGGCAATGTGTGAGGTGGACCGATTTATCGACCGAGAGCACCTTATCTTCAGAGAGAACACCCTGGCCACCAAAGCCATAGAAGAGTACCTCAAACTCATTGGACATAAGTACCTCAAAGACGTTTTAGGTGAGAGTTCCTCAAATTTTGAGATTGTTTTGAGAGTTGTCGTTGTTTCTGTTGCTGTACGCTCACACATTAAGCTTTTCGTTTGAATTTAGGTGATTTTATCCGAGCGCTGTATGAGTCAGAAGAGAACTGTGAAGTCGACCCAATGAGAACTCCACCTTCTGTGCTGCCCGAACATCAAGCCAACCTCCGGATGTGCTGTGAGCTTGCACTCTGTAAAATCGTCAACTCTCATTGGTTAGTTACAAAGCTGGCACAGGACAGTCCTCTTATGGGCCGTTCACACAGTCTTGAGCTGTTTTAAATGGACACGCCATCTTAAAGGGTTAGTTCACCCTAAAATGAAAATCAAGTCATCATTTACTCACCCTGGTGTTGTTCTAATGTAGTATGCCATTCCTTCTTTTTCGGACCACAAAAGTGGTGACCACTGTGGACCACTGGGGAAATAACGGCCCAGTATAATGATGGGGACACTATACTGTAACAAGCAACGTCCTTCGGATGAGACGTTAAACCGAGCTCCTGACTCTCTGCGGTCATAAAAAATCCCAGGATGTCCTTCAAAAAAGAGTAGGAGTGCCTGGCATCCTGGCCAAATTTGCCCATTGGCTTCTGTCTATCATCATGGCTTCCTAATCATATCCATCTCAAAAACTTGTGATCCATATACAGCTCCTGCTGAAGTATTTCAATCACTAAAACGCTTAACGTGAGAAACACATTGGTTGCACCAATAAGAATTAAATTCAGTAAAGTTTAACGCTAATCAAGGATTTGTTGATCTGGGTTTTATTTTAAATTGAGTTGTGTTGCACCACTTAATTTTAAACATAGATGAACAAATCTGGGATTACCATTCTAACCTGTGATTAAAACCCATGATAAAAAATGTCTCCGCCATGATGGATTCGCCAATTTAACAGCAACAATGTTAATATTCCATTTCCTCTTTTATTGACCACCAGAAACTCTCACTCTGACAATAGCTCTTGCCAATAAAAGAAATAAACTTGTAAAATGTCAACTGTGTTTAAAAACTGCTACGCAGAAAGACCATTAGAATTAAAGGGCTTATCAAGCAGCTTAGGCAGAGGGTGAACCGACGGAGACGCTTAAACCTCATTGGTGCAACCCACCCTTAAAGTGCCTTAATAATGTACTAAAACAGTGATATTAAAAGATCAAATTCAGTTTACACCTTTTTGATGATGCCAGAATTTCGGAGTGAACTGCGGCGCTAATGGAGTCTCACGAACGCACACGTTGCACAGCTGTGCACAGAAGACCAACAGCCAAGGTCAAGATTTTCGTTGTTTTTTTACCAAACCCTTTTGTAAACACCCAGAACACTTCTGTGATACTTTTGCTTTTTTTTTAAAAAAGAAAAAGCTTGATGCTGGTCGATATTCACTGCCATTATATGGATGAGCGGGACATTTTTTTTTAAATTACTCCTTTTGTGGTCCAAAAAAGAAACAAGGGCATTTGGCATTAAAACAACACCAGGGTGAGTAAATTATGACTTGATTTTCTTTTTGGGTGAACTATCCCTTTAAAAAACACTGCAGCAATCAAATACATCACTATAGCACGTTTACAGAGAGGAAAAAAAATACTACTCATAAAAAAACAGCTGGGACAGATACAAGAACACAAACTGTGTGAACGGCCCCTTACTGCTTTTTTCTATGGAAAGTGAAATTCTTCTTATGCGCAGTGACAGTACATTTTTTTAATGGGTAGATTTTTGGTTAAAATGTATTATATTTAATAATGTGCACCACACCACAGGACAGTAAAAATGATACATTTAATGGTGTTATATTACACAACTGTGACTCTTTAAAACAGTTGAAGTGGCAAAACAACTTTTTAATGATAGTTATGATCTTCATAAAAATCTTGCTTAAGATTGCATGGTGAAAATTGTATGATGATGCACATTATCCTTAATCGTGAATTTCCAGGCTTATATATTTGAAAATTTTAATATATTTGAAAAGAATCGACAGTGAAAACATGATAGCAAACCAACTGCTTGAATCATACTGGAAATATATTGTTTGTTTTTCCCAGTGCGTTTCCAAGAGAACTGAAGGAGGTCTTTGCGTCCTGGCGCGTGCGATGCGCTGAGAGAGGAAGAGAGGACATTGCAGATCGCCTGATCAGTGGTTCCCTCTTCCTGCGCTTCCTGTGTCCAGCCGTCATGTCGCCATCCTTATTCAATCTCACACAGGAATACCCCGATGAACAGACCTCACGCACACTCACCCTCATAGCCAAAGTTGTGCAGAACCTTGCAAACTTCTCAAAGTCAGTACACACTTCTTTAAGGTCTATAACTTTATTACCATGTCATCATTTTTGCGGTATGCTCTGAGTACTGTAACTTGCATTCATGCTGGTCTTTTCAGCAGGGAAACCATTCAGATTGGAGATGGATGATGTATTGGGACCATTTTGGTTATCAACCGATATTTAATTAAATTTTTTCAAATACAGGGTTCCAGACTGCGACCAAATTGGTCGCATATGCGACCGTTTTTTGAGAATGTGCGAGTTAAAATTGTATGTGGTCGCATTAGTGCGAGTGGACGCTCGCGCAACAGAATGCCACTGTATCAGCAGCTGCTGCAGTCCGTAACGTAACTTATGTTCAAAATGAACGAGTACATCATGAATCCATTTTCCAAACCGTGTTTTTGACTTATCCTGAATCACTACGGTACGCCTATAATAAGTTGCGGAGTTGCCCAGTGTCTGCGTGACTCGCCATAGACATTAACGGAGAGAAGTAGCTCCGTCTACAATGTTCTTCCGCAAGACACGTGCAGTTTATTTATTGACGAACGTAGACGTCACGCGCATTGCACACTGATGGTGAAACGCGCCAATTACGAATTCAGGAATTAAGGCATATAAAAATGAAAAGGTCTCACGAAACACCGAGCCCCTTCCTACGTCTTTTCAGCGGTTAGATGAGAGTAATCGATCGAGAGAGGAAAATGATTATAAAATGCAGAAGGTAAGGAGTGTGAGATTTCAGATTTTTGTTACAACTATAAACTTTGATAACGAAAATCTGTATCAGCGTATTATAGGCTAATACTCTAATCTTTTAAAATGTAATGCATACATTTGAATGTTTAATGATTTTTAAAAGATAGAAAGATGATGCTGATAGAAAGATGATAATAGACAGATAGATAGATATAATATAATTCAAATGTAAATAGATAGATTGTATACATTCTAAACAATGATGGGTTGTTTAAACTCAAATTTGGGTCAAATATGGACAAACCCAAATGTTTGGTTAAAATTTAATTTTAACCCAACTTTCACTTTCAACTGTAAAAATGTTTTATTACATTTTTAACCCAACATTTGGGGTTGTCCATATTAGAACCAAATTTGGGTTGAAACAACCCAGCATTTTTTAGTGATAATTCAAATGTTAAATGCTTAAAATTACTGTCCAAAATCCATGAAAATGATAATTATCATATATTACATGTGTTTTTATATAATATATTACAGGTATTTATGCTGCAACCCAGAAAGCCTTTGCTAGCCTTGGTCCATTAAAACCACTATTCATCAGCATGCATTGATTAATCCCATGGCATGTAGCAAAAAAAAAAAAGGAGCGACCAAATCATATGCTGGTGCGACCAACTGAGAAAGTTGGTAGCACCAGTGCAACCAGTGGAAAAGTTAGTCTGGAGCCCTGAAATAGGATATTTAACTGTGCATTCTCATTTTCATCATTCTGCTATGGGATGCATGATATAATGGGACCATTTTAGTTATCAACTGGCATTATTTTATTTTATTATTTTATCCACACTGGATATTTGTGCATTCTCATTTTATCTATTCTGATGCCTAATATATTGGGACCATATTGGTTATCACAATTTTTTATTATTACTTTATTTTTTATTTTTTTTTATCCATATTTGATATTTAGTTGTGCATTCTCATTTTCCCAATTTTTAAATATAGATTATCTTTGTGCCGTCTAAAGCTCACTTGAAATTAATCTTTAAAATCACTAATTCTTCAATAACACTGTATAATGTAATATTTAGCAAATATTCAAAATTAACGTCCATTTTTCACACTGTACTTTATAATGTTATGATGCTTAAAATCACCTTTTCAGCATTTAAAATAATTGATCCAGGACAGTCTTTGGGTTAAGGACACAATAGTGATGGGAATCTCTTTAGTGCTCCAGTATTATGGGTTACATTATGACGTTCGGGCTGTCAGCCCAGATCATTAGCCATTAAGCTGATGATGATGATGAGCATTATCATCCTTATCATTGACGCTACATTCTATGTTCCTACGAACCATATCAGCCCGTGTCCTTACCAGTTCTTCGCTGCATTACAGGTTTGGCAGTAAGGAGGAGTACATGTGCTATATGAATGAGTTTTTAGAGATGGAGTGGGGCTCCATGCAGCAATTCCTCTACGAGATCTCCAATCTCGATACCGTGAGCAACGCCGTTGCTTTTGAGGGCTACATCGACTTGGGAAGGGAGCTTTCGATCCTGCACAGTCTTCTGTGGGAAGTCATGGCACAACTAAGCAAGGTAGATGCTGTTTGATAATCTAGATGAAGATAATTGTGATTGTCTACTTGCGTTTGTGATCGGTCATCAGGTTGGTCTCCTGTTTTCTGTCTGTTTATATTGTGCCAAAGGATGCTATCATCAAACTCGGACCATTGCCCCGCCTTCTAAATGACATCAGCATGGCCCTCCGTAACCCGCACCTCCAGAGACAGCCCAGTCATCAGACAGACAGACAGCCTCCAGAGAGACAGACAGATAGGCTGCTCTCCAGGCCCAGCTTCAACAGGGCCATCTCATCGGAGTTCCAGAACCTCATGATGAGAGACCTCAACAGGTAGCGTCTGGGGTCTTTATATGCACGCGTTATTTGTGTCACATCGCAGAGATTATTTTCCAAAACCTAGTTAGTCTGCCTAATATTTTTAGGCATCTATGCCAGGGGTTTACAAACTGGAGAGGAGATGCAAAAAAAAACATTTTAACATTAATTAACATTAATTTCTTTACTGTTTCATTCATGCTTTCTGTTTTTAAGCTTTTTTATTAAATTTTACATATACTTTTTAATAGTTTTTTTGTTTTTGTTTTAGTACAATAACTATATGAAAGACAACATGTAATATCACACTTGTATTGTATTTTATATAAAATATTTTTCAAACAGTACAAAAAAACATTTAAAATAAAATGTATAGATAATATTAAATATAAAAAAATAATTTAAAATATTATATATAAAAAAGTTGTCCCTCAAAAGAGGATCATCATATTTGCAGGGATGCAAAGCCACCTACAAGTAAATAAATAAATATTTATTTATGTATTGTATTTTATTTTAGATTATTTTTTGGTTTAGTTTTTTTAGTTTTCATTTTCCTTATTTTTGCATTCGGATTTTCTTTGCCGTCATCTAAAAATTTTTTTTTTTTTCATACTTCTGCTTCTGTCAAAGCAGGGTTATTATTGTTAACTTTAACTAAAAAAAAAACATTTTATTTATTTAAACAAAATAAACGTTAATTGAAATAAAATAAAATATAAAAACTTACAATTATTTTATTTCAGCTAGTTGCCAACATTTCTCATTTTTATTTAGTTTAACTTGAAGTACTAAAATAACTCAAACTAATTAATAAAAAGGAATAAAAACTATATAGACAAACTAATAAAATGACAAAATTACTAAAGCTTCAATTAAAATTAAAGTGAAAACAGAAAATACAAAATAAATCTACTTCAAAAGTAGTATATCAATGATCATAAAATAATACAGTATCAAAGTTTATTTTATTTATTAATAAAATAAATAATCAACTACAAATCAAATATCACATCATATGGCTTGCTAGGTTTTGGAACTGAGCTTGGTAACACTTTATTGGGATGCTCCCCAACCAGACATTCAACTTTTCAACTACATGTAAACTTATTCTACTAACCCGAACCCTAACGTAACAGTCTCCAAATACTCTAATGAGAGTTAGTTGACATGTAGTTGACAAGATACTTATAGAATGTCTAATGTGGACCATCGAAATAAAGTGTAACCCTGAGCTTAAGTGAATGTCTTATGGAATATTGCTTCTGGAGCAAATGAGCATGGGAACTCTTTTCCTTGTCAACTTTCTCATATCTCATACAGTTCAATCGATATCACTCGCCTGCCCTCTCCAACCTCTGCCATGTCCAGTGGCGGAGCCCCCCCATCCCGAGCTGGAATGGGGGGTTTTGTGGATCGCGATCATCCTCACCGAGCCTCATCTAAAGAAGTTTTCTATGTTGCCCGTCCCCCGTTGGCCCGCTCTAGTCCAGCGTACTGTACTAGCAGTTCTGATATTACTGATCCAGACCCAAAGGTAAGTCCCAAAGGACAGTGGTTCTGATTGGGTGGGGTGTTCTGATTAAATAATATCCCCTTTCATTTAGAATTCTTTCATGACAATGGTCAGTGCTGTCTGGTCCAAATTCTCATTTGAATAACAGCTCACTCCCTAGCACACGTTTCACCAGCTTTTCTGAGGGTTCGCTTTGTTCCTGTCGGAGAAGGAAGCGCCACTGACCTGCTTACTGCATGGTCAAATACCACCCAAGCATGGAAAAGAGGGCTACAAGATGATGTGGGTGCAGTCAATACATAAAGAGATTCTTTACGTTAATCTTCCATCACCATTTAGGATTCAGGGTCCTGACATACAATAAATGTATATTTCACCCAAAAATGAAAGTTTTGTGATTATTGTATCCTGCACTTTCATGTGCAATGTTTATAGTGACAAGTTTTCAGAATGTAAAATAATTATATATTATAAAATAATTTTAAATCGGATTGTTTGTGAACTATATTTCAGGTCTTATGAACACATACAAGAGAGGGAGAGGGAGTTAATTTATTAATTGAAAAAATTGAATATGACACAAATGGCACCTGTCATGTCAGGTTTTGCCTCAGACTGACACACAATACCATTTTTAGCTCACTTGACTTTTGTCATCCATTTCATCTGTACTTTGGCTTCAAAATATAAGTCTCAGAATATAGCATGTGTCATTCTCCCAATAAATAAATAAATAGAAATTTAGTTAAATACATTTTTCTCCTATAAAGCAGATGGTAATTATTTATTGTTTTTTTATTATTTTATTAAATAATTGTATTAATTATGTATTATTATTATATAATATTATATTATTTACCATTATTTAAATATTATATTGTATAGAATATTATATTTTAATAATTAAATATAATTTTCCTTGAGATCATTACCAGGGAGGGGTGTGTTTCCCAAAAGCATCGTTAGCCAACTATGTTCGCAAGTTCCGTCGTTATCAGCATAGTTTAACGAGTCGGTGTGTCCCGAAACCAAAATTTAACCTAAAAAAAAGGTACTCCTGTATAGACTATAATCAATAAGCTAAGCATGATTGTTTTTTTAAATGGAAACCTTTTACACAAGCATTAAACAATGTAACAATGAAACATTTAAATGAATCGTATTAAAAAGATGGTGCTTTTAATGTCCATTTTGAATTCAGTTAAATTAATTATTCTCCCGTAAAATCAAATGTTACTTATGTATTACTATTATTTAAATATAATATATATTATTTAAACAATTCAATATAATTTTTCTTGACATTTTAGCCAGGAGGACTACCTGGATTTTGTTTTTTTATGTTATTATTTTATTTTATTTGACAAACTGTATGAAAAAGAGCTGCATACAAATGATGTTTTTACATTCCACTGAATAAATAACAGCGTAAATAATGACAGAAAGGTCATTTTTGGGTGAATTATTCCTTTTAACCCTCAAGTTAATACACCCATCACTCACATGCAGTAAACCCACATGCATAAACCGCCCACAACTGCTGCGCCCGGCAGGTATCTGCAGCGCTCTCGCCCGTAGGTTCTAGGTGTTAATGAAAACATTTCTATGATGGACCTCCAGGACTCAAGAATGAACAGCGTCTCTAACCTGCAGTCTATGGGGGACATGCTCAACTCTTCCCAGGCCTCGATTGCCGGCCTCGGCAGCTACGGTGGGCTCGCGGCCTTGGGAGGAGGCCTCGGAGGTCAGCTGCGCGCCGGAGGGCGTATGTCGGCCGGATCCGGCGGTTCCAGCATGTCCGGGGGTCTGAGGTTGAGCCAGCTGAGCCAGATGGGAACCACCACCGACTCGCTGTCCCAGCAGCAACAGCAGCAAGCCGCCGCCCTCCGCTACCCCCTCTCCTTCCAGAACCCTCTGTTCCACCTCGCTGCTGACGGGCCTCAGATTCACCACCAGCACAGTCGAGCTCAACCTCCTCCTCCTCTCCTGCTGGCCCCTGAGCCGGACGCCTCTCACCCAGCGTACATCCCGCAGTTCGCCCATGGTGGTTTCTCCCGAAGCGAAGACCTGTCCACCCTCAGACCCGGCCCTCACCTGGGTCAGCCGAGCATCATTCACTCCCACAGCTACAGCGACGACTACACCCGCCATAACCAGAGTGACTTCAGGGGACGCCAGCTCTCGATGCACATGCAGGTATTTTCTTGACCATCGTTTTAATCTTAAAAATGACCTATTATGGCCTTTTAGTCTTGATTTTGTCTTTTGGGTTTATTAGAATAGGTTTTCATGCTTGAATGTTCTAAAAACACATTATTTTTTTCACATATTTGACATTGTTGCAGCACCTCTCTTCCAAGTCTGTCAGTAACGTTCTGTTAGTTCCTGTCTCTATGAAGCCCCTCCTTCTGAAAAGTGCAGTATGCTCTGATTGGTCAGCTAGGCTACTGTGTTGTGATTGGTCAACTACTTTGAGCATGTTTGGGAAATGCCACGTCCCTTACTATAACCGCGAGTTTCAACACACTACCAACTCACTCGACCAGGCCTCATCCTCTTTTTTTTGCCTATGCCTTGGGCGGGAATTATTTAAACAAGAAATATTGTGACGTGTTCGTTCCTAGAAGAAAAGACTTCAAGGCACTTTGTTTACCTTTGTTTACATTCACTATATAGTCAACTGTCCACAAATGTTGACAAATTGTGCATCTTTTGTCTATTGGAATCAAAACAAGACTTCATACTTTCATTGTTAGATGAATCCAATCCGCCCGTTAAAAACAAATGTCCCCTGAAAAACATCCATTAGCATCTTTTGTCCCTAAAATCATAAAATCTGTAAAATATTGTTGTATTATCCATTGTTTACATCAAAATTTCTGAGTCAATTGATTTAGAAATGAGTGGCAGAAATGGAGGTTGTTTATTTAAGCATGTGTCTCATGACCAGGAGCAGCAGCAAATGGCAGGCATGGCATCGCAGACCGGCACATCTCATTCATCACTAGCCACGCCTCCTTCCACCGTTCAGCCTGTCCGTCAAAGCTCCATGGCTCCTCCCACACAGCGCATGAAATCGCAACCCTCACATCAGCTTTCCGTGAGTTCTGCCGCTGCCGCCACCCCTGCAGCAAAGACCAGGCCCCAGAGCGGAAACCTGCTCCAGTCCCCGGAGTCTGGCTTCGGGAGCCGGCAACAGGGGCCCCGGCAGCAGCTGTCCGTCAAAGACAGCACCCCCCCAGGCCTGCCCCATCAGCAGAGCTCCACCAGGGAGAGCCAGGGATCCCAGGGCTCTCAGGGCGGAACGCCACAGTCCACACAGCAATCGAAATCACATCAGGAACGCCAGCAGGTCCAGCAACAGCATCTGCTCAAGCCTACCATGAGCAAACAGGTGTTCGGATCAGAAAACATTCCTACTCTGCCTGTTATCAATGTCTAGTATTTCTTCAGCTAGTATTTCTTTTTGTGTGTGATTTATATAAAATTCTTTTTAAAAATCATTTCCAGTCATTTATGACGGAAAGTCATGAAAAAAGTGTAGAAGCTTTAAAAAGTCAACAAAACAAAAAAAGCCACCAAATTGGAAATATTTTAATTGTAATTTTAACAATTTTTTTTAGTAATCAGCAATATTTATCACACCACAATTTATCCATCTGAATGGAAAACATAGTGATAAATTTGGTTATTTCAAATAAATATTTATTTCACTATACATTTTTTTTGTGCATTTTTGCAGATTTTAATAATATTTAAATGTTTATTAAAGTTATTTAATAGATAATATCTTGTTAATTGGACTTTTCACAAATTATTAAAAAAAAATTCTGCAATATTAAGGAATATTTATCACACACAAAACCTTAAATGTGTTCAACAGAACTGCAAGCATTACACTTTCATTGGTTGTAGATAGCATAATAGAATTAGTCAGCATACTTAATAATTACATTTTTGTTCAAATAAATTAATACTTTTATTCAGCAAGGACGCATTAAATTGATCAAAATTGGCAGTAAAGGCTTTTATAATGTTACAAAATATTTATAGCTGGGGGTTTTAAACCTTATATACCTTCTAAGTTAAGCAGCACAACATTTCCAACATTGATAATAATACTTTGCCAACATTTATAATAATAAGAAATGTTTCTTGAGCAGCAAATCAGCATATTAGAATGATTTCTGAAGGATCATGTGACACTGAAGACTCACTGGATGCTGAAAATTCCTCTTTGACATCACAAGAATAAATGACATTTGAAAATATATTCAAATAGAAAACCTTTTTTAATTGTAATAACATTTCATAGCATTACTGTTTTCAATGCATTTTTGATCAAATGAATGCACCCTTGGTGAGCATAAGAGACAACAACATTCAAAATCTTACCAACCCCAAACTGTGTAAGTTTCCTTACTTACAGGATGTCTTGTTCTTTTTCTCAGGGCTCTTCCCAATCTCCATCCACTCTCAACCCCACGACCCCCGCCTCTGAGCGAACCGTCGCCTGGGTGTCCAACATGCCCCATCTTTCTGCTGACATAGAGAGTTCCCGCATCGACAGAGAAGAATTCAAGCTAAAGGAGTATTCCAAGAGCATGGACGAGTCACGTCTGGACAGGGTGTGTTTCTCTGTTTCTCATCCAGCTATATGAACTATGTGCTTTGGGTTTATTTTAATTAAGCCAACCGATATTGCCATGCTAGACGGCTGTTGTGATGTGAATGTTGTGAGCTTTGAATTAGAGATGCGTTCTTGGTCCGAACTCGAGCTTGATTCCTCCTCTGTACTCGTGCAAATGAAGTGTCCCCAAGACACTCAGTTGTCTGAGAGCAGTTGTGTCTCAGCACACAAGTGTCAAGGAAATGCATATCATGTCTTTCACCTTGGCAACAGATGGTGCCTGATTTATGCATTATTTAAATATCAAATGAGAATGAACAGCCTTTTGCTGTAAACAGACTACAGGAGAGAGCAGCATGGGCTTTCAATCAGGACGTCCTGACTGTTCTTTACCCTCTGTTCCCCCGTCTGGATGTTCGTGTAGAGGTGACACACAACCTCTTTTCATTGCTTCTCAGTGTGACTATTAAAGGACAGTTTCATCTTCAAAATCTGCAATTATATTCTATTATGAATCAGCACTTTCTCAGTCCCAAGTGGTTTGCATGGAGAATTTGTTCATTTGCATTGACTGTAGTTGCCCACCTAGGCAACATTTTCATGCATGAATGACACACTCCTTCCGGAAAAGCTGTTGGGAGCAAAATCCTGCTTCCTCATAAGTTGCCAAATTTTGGCCAAAATCTGAAAGTTGCTCATTACTGGAAAAACCACACTGTTTTGAAAGTGGCTGAGCTACAAAATAATAAAAGCAGTCATTATTTACTAACCCTGATGTCATTCTAAACCTGCATGACTTTCTTTCTTCGCACAAAAGATGCATTTTTGAAGAATATCCTGCCCTGGATATCCTTCAGAAATCGACTTTTTTTTCCACAGAAGAAAGAAAGGATTTGGAACAGCATGAGAGTAAGTAAATGATGCCAGAATTATTGTAGCATCACCACTTTTAGTTAGTCAATCACCAGTGCTGGACACTGGGAGTAGCTTTATAACCTTAAGACGAGCGTACACTGCGAGTTCAGACACTCGGGAGGTCGGTTAACCCGATAATCGTGTCAAAGCAGCTACACAAAGACTTGTGTGCAAATGATTTGCTGAAAAGCAAAGTACATCACAGCCATTCCTTTCAACAAAAACAACAAATGTGTGCGTGTGTGTGTGTGTGTGTGTGTATGCGCACACTGTAGGGTTGCAGCCACTGGGCTATAACAATATTCATAGTGAGAGAGTTCACTATGAATATTGTGAACTTTTTTCTCTCCCAAAGAAAAAAACGCCTGCAAGCTTGTACGACCGGCTTTACTTTCGTTTTATAACTTCTGCTGTGATAACATGCCAATTGTCCTCATATATCATATCTAATAATATTTATTAAAGTAATTTAATGAATAATATCTTATTAATTATAATTTACATTATCCAGTTCATTTTTTAATAGTTTCATTATTAAATTTTATTTAATTTTAATTTTGACATTTATTTAATACTTTAATTTGTTTCATTTTTTTAGATTTTAATAATATTTTGACATTTTATTAAAGCCATTTAATGGATAATATCTTGTTTATTATATTTTTTAAATAATTTCATTATTTATTTTATTTAATTGTATACGTATTTAAAAAAATATATATATATTATAATAATATTCTAAAACTTTATTAAAGTCATTTAATGGATAATATCTTGTATATTATCATTTTCATAAATTATTCAGTTTATTTTTAATACTTTTATTTTTAATTTTAACTCTTTTTATAATTTTTTATTTACTTGTATATATGAGGAGACTCATCTACAAATTAATTTTGTATTCATTCATGTGATCCTGCTAGTAAATCCTAGGTTTAGTGCCATAAGATACCAATCATCACTATGGAAAGGCTGGTATAAGTGTCTTTTATAGAAATGCCTTATTGTATTTTTTTATTTTTATTTTATCTCTTTGTATATGTATCCGTTCTTATGTATGTTGCATGTTATGTCTGTGCCTTCTGAATGGACCAAGAGTCTGGAAATTAAGGTTGATGATGATATGTATGTGTATATATATATATACACTTTTAGTTTGTCACTCACCAACGCAAGACACTAGAAGTACAGTAGCTTGATTACCTTGCTGTCTCACCGAAACCATCAAGAGGCTGACGTCTGCTGTGATAACATGCCCACTGTCCTCATCTCTTGCCCTGTCCCAGGTGCGTGAGTACGAGGAGGAGATCAACTCTTTGAAGGACCGTCTGATGATGTCACACCGTAAGCTGGAGGAGTACGAGAGGAGGCTGTTAACTCAGGAGCAGCAGACCAATAAAATCCTGCTGCAGTATCAGAGCCGACTGGACGACAGCGAGAGGAGACTGAGACAGCAGCAGATGGAGAAAGACAACCAAATTAAAGGAATTATTGACAGGTAATATGAAAAAAAGAGGCTGGAGAAACAGCAGTGGTCACGTGATCACACTCGCTGTGTACTACGCTGTACGCTTCCTTCTAAGCTCAATTGCCGATGACCCCTTATTCTGTATAGAAATAGTGGCCCCAAAAAGTATTTGGAAATTTAAGCCAAACTTAAAAATGTCTGAATGTCATTGCATTAGTTAATAAAATATCAAATCTAGCGACATTATTTAAAAGATATATAGCACACTTTTCATGCAAAGCATTTCCCGAAAAGAAGTGATAAAACATTATTTACACTTCAATTAAAAAAAAAGTTTGGGGTTAGTAAGATTTAGCAAATGTTTTTGAAAGAAGTCTCTTAATGCTCACCAAGGTTGTATTTATTTGATCAAAATAGATTTGATGAATATATTTAATAATACAATTTATCTACGATGAAATGCTGTTCAGCATCATTATTCCAGTCTTCAGTGTCACATGATCCTTCAGAAATCATTCTAATATGCAGATTTGCTGCTAAATAAACATTTCTTATTATTACAAATGTTGGCGAAGTATTATTATCAATGTAGAAAACACTTCTGCTGCTTCATATGTTTTGTAGAAATCATGATAAATTTTTTTTCAGGATTCCTTCGATCAATAGACAGTTCAAAAGAACAGGATTTATTTGAAATAGAAATCTTTTATAACATTATAAAAGTCTTTACTGTCACTTTTGATCAGTTTAATGCATCCTTTTTGAATAAAAGTATTAATTTCTTTTAAAAAAAAAACCGGACTGACCCCAAACCTTTGAATGGTAGTGTAATCTGGTCAAATTGTAGAGTTTTTTTTTTTAAGAAAGTGAAGGTACTTGTTTTTTAAGGCACTTGTTTGCAGATTCATTCTTTGATATTTTGTTTGACATTCAAGAAATGTGATACATGTGTCCACATACTTTTTAGGGTCACTGTATATATGGTTTATATATTTTATAAGGGGTTTTCTATCTAGAGCATCTGCCATTTTTATACAGTATAGTAGTTTAACCACATCTTTACTCTTGGACTTCGTCTTGTAATTGCCGTGATGTGTGTCATCACAAAGCTGCTTTTAAATTGATGAACTGGGTTTATTTCCTTCCTGTTGTTATTTTATGTTTCATTTCATCTTTTTTATTACCCTGTTATTTGGATTCTTTGCGGCTTTGTGAATCTACAGAGACACATTCTGCCAATATTTTGCTTCACTCTTAGAAAAGACATCACCCCTCCCATTGGTTGATGAAATGATGATGTAACTTCCTGTAATGCAGCATTTACTGCATATTTTTTTGTCACAGAGTATATTGCTATTTCAATCCAATTCTAGGAATGAAGACATGGAGTGAAGACACTCAGATGGTGAAGGGAGACCAGGGTTCTTACTCCCAAAAGGGCATAAAAATATAAATCATCGTCTCTTCCTTCCTTGGCGTGTATTAGTGCAATACCTTTATGGAATGATCTCCAGATGATCTTCATTATAATCATAACTGATCATAACAGGATGTGTTTGTAATTGAGGCAGTCATATATGTGCAGTATTGTTCATGTATTTGTCATTTTAAGCACTGCCGTCTAAGGAAACAAGTTTGACATGGACAAAGTGTCATAAATTGTGATTAAGCTGAAAAGGAATTGCTTTATGAATTTCTAATGTTTAAAGAACTTATTCAGAAAGAAAAATTGCCGTTTTCTAAAGCTCTTACAAGGATCATTCATCCATTAATAGAAATTCTGAGGTTATTTATTCATCCATCATGTCGTTGCAAACCTGTATACTGTTGTTAACTTTTCAATGGAACACAAAAGGAGATTTTTTTTTTTAAATCTTCACACATCTTCCACACACAAGCTCCAAAAGGGACAAGCACACCATAAAGCACCAAGTTACCATCAACTTTTGTGTCCAACAGAAAAAAAGACAGTCATACGGGTTTAAGAACGAGATGAGGGTGTGTAAATGATGATGAAATTTTCATTCATTAGGGCGATTTGATCCTTTAATGAGTGTAAAAACTGCATAGCTGCAATAATAAAGTAGTTAGACAAGCCCTTATGTGGCTTCTGCTTGTTTGTCTTGAAACAGAAATGGTGCAGGGGATTTTTCTTCCAAATAACCATCAGTAATTGTAGCAAAACATCTTGAAAATACACAGAATCGCTTCCTGATCGACCCGCTCATGTTCTCTGCTGCACTTCTCTCTTCACTGTGTTCTATAACATACTGTGTGATGAAAGTGTCTTACTCATCAAAATAGATCATATTTCAGATGTTCATGTTTTCCATATCTCTATGTGCTATCACGAGAACAGCGATCTCATGTGTCAACCACTCCTCATCACATTTGGATTTCGGTTGTTCAGGTTTCAGTGTTTAGATCGTTCATTTTGAAATATGCAATAAAAGCAGATATTTCCAAGCTTCGGAAAGAGGCTTGTGTTTGCTTATATTCAAACACAAGCCTCATATATGATTCCTAATATTAAAACTCATGACTTAATTCTCACAAAACCTGTTCCAGGTCATGTTTCAGTCTATAATCAATAGAAAATGATTCATTTAAGGCAGTGCAACAAATACCATGATTCACAAATACTTATATATATATATATATATATATATATATATATATATATATATAAACACACACACATATACAATTACATACAATTACACACATATAATTTATTTATATTTAATATTTATTTAATTTATTTATATATATATATATATATATATATATATATATATATATGTGTGTTTGTATATCATGGTATTTATTGCACTGCCTTAAATTTAAGCTGCTTTTAGTTTAATTCTCTTTATGCAAATTATAATTATTATTTTATCCTTTTGATTTCATAGTGAAATTTGACCTGGATTTGTTTTCACCCTCATTGATAAATATTAACACAGTTTAGTGAGTGTGTTTTGGTGTTATGTTCGATGTAAAATGGCAAGAAGATACAGTATAAAATATTAAACATGAGGTAAGTGAGTTGTCATGCTTATGAATATCTTATTTTGTGTGGTGCTGTTTGTGAAATAAACATAGAGATATTAATTATAGATCAGGAAACATAAATAGATAATTAATGAATTTTTAGAGAATCTCTTTTGTAATGTGATGTTGATATAAATAATCATTTTGAATAATATGGAATGTTTGCACTGAAATAAGCCTTTTTAGCCTTTTTTTGTTTTCCATTGTTAGACTTTCATATATTAAATTGATGTATAAAAATGAGTGTATTAAATAACCTAATACTGTTAGAAAAGAATAACAGACATTGCTTCCCTATAAATTCTTTTAAAAGCAGAAATATAGAGCATAGAATCATATATATTCTGTATACGAGATGATATTTATTTAACTATTGTAGCCAAACTGTGTGCAATAAATATACCTTGATAACTGTAGCGATGAGAAATAGCACAATGAAGGTTTATTAATGACTCCCTCTCGTGACCCTTCTGACCTCTGCTTGTGAACTGTGTCTGACCCCATGACCTTTTGTCTGATCTTTGTTAATAAACAATCACATTGTTGAATATAAAACAGGCCTGAGCATATCTTTAATAAATTGGATGCTTCTGTCTGTTTAAGAAATCTTGAAGCACTAAATTTGTTTTGTTTTTTTGTTGTTTTTACTTTTGCATTTGAATTTTGTACAAGCTATATAATATATGTACATTTATAAATGGAATAAAATATCCAATCATATTGTTTTAAACCTAAACTGTGGAATTCATTATTTATTCGAATAAATGCTAAAGACTAGAATAAGTTAAGGCCCGTTCACACCAAGAATAATAACTATAACTATATTGCCGTCCTCACCAATGCACGATATCATTCTGTTTATCATAAACACGTGGTGCAGTTTTGTCGTCTGTCGCTTTAAATGCTCGAGCTCTTTTAGCAGGATGGATTCTGATTGGTTGTCAATGTCTTTATCGTTCATCAGCTAAAAAAAATCTTTCTGAAAGTGATTCCAACGATATTGTTTCACTGTGCCGATATCGTTATAGGCTAGTTGTGGAGCAGACTCTGCCATTCTTTTATATTTACAATGATTTTTAAAACTATCTTTATAGTTATCATCCTTGGTGTGAACAGGCCTTTTTCTGCAATGAATTAATGTATCTTTCATGACTATTTCATATCAGTCTACATCAAAACAATGTCAAATCTGTCCCCTAAACTGGCTCAATGATACCTATCCAATGAAACTTTTCATATTTGACCCAGATGCACACATTTAATATCACATGTACTGTCATGTACTCGTGTTGTCTTGTCAACATAAATCAAACCAAACATCATTCCTTAGAAAGCCCTCATTCACTTGATAATCACAGTGCTTCGTTTGGCTGCCACTTGTGCCTAGAAACAGCATCTGATGTGCTATCCCGAGAGGAAATGTTCACGTGGAGATATGAAAACATCCGTGTTTTTGTGTATGAAACCGAACGTCACTTTGATGCGCGCTGGCGGCCACTTCAATGGCGTGTAATTTCTGAAATAAGCTGCCAGTAAGAGCGGCAGCCGTCGTTAGAAGCCGTACAACGTGGCCCATTTTCATTTATCAGCTCACTTATTCCCATGGGATGATGGAAATATGTCATCATGACATAATATGGTTGATTTTCTTTTTCTACAGTATGCTTTCCAGATTGGACCGAAAGCCATTTCAAAGCAAACTAATACTATTTATACCACAATCAAAGCATGTCGATCTGATATTCGTGGCAGATGAACACTTATTGTTGATTGTCTGATCTCAATAATGTCTGTGTGCTTTGGAACTAATAATGTCTCCCTCTTTCACTCTCTCTTTCTCCCTCGCTTTCTCGTTTCCCATGAAGACTCATGGCTGTGGAAGACGAGCTGAGGGTAGGGGTGGTGCCTGAGCAGAAACCCAGGATATTCGCAGACCAGGTCTGTCTTCTTGTTCTTTTTCTCTGTGAATATCTCCTGGGCCGTTCTGTCCGTTGTTTGCGTGTGTCTGTCCTTCTACGTTCACGCTGGAATGTGTCTTTGCTTGTTTGCTCTGCCTGTCTGAATGCTTTACAGGACTGCCGTATTATATTCAGTAGGTCAGCACTTACAGATCACAGATTTGATCCACTTGAGGAAGAGCATCCTGATGCTAAACGCTGGACTATAGGAAGGAATGTTTTACTGATCAGATGTTCAGGCTCAGGACACTTAGCCCCGGTTTCATAGACAGGGCTTGGATTAAGCCAGGATTAGGCCTTAGTTCAATTAAGACAGCTTTTATAAACATGCCTTAGAAAAAACACATTACTGGTGTGTATCTTGAGACCAAACAATGGCACTGACGTATTTGAAGATATTTAGTGCAAGTTGCTTTCAGTTAAAACATGGGACGAGACTCAAGCCTTGTCTGTGAAACTGGGGCAAAAGTATCAACTTTTCCTTAATCTTTTGGTATATATTTTTTTTTGGTTCTATGGAAACATACTAGCTTTGTGCAAAAAATAATAATAATGTCATAACCCCAAAATTTTAAACATTTAACCACCCATGACTGTCTTGTATAACTACACTACCGTTCAAAAGTCTCTTCTGCTCACCAAGGCTGCATTTATTTGATCAAAAACACAGTAAAAACAGTAATATTGGGAAATATTATTACCATTTTAAATAACTATTTTCTATTTAAATATATTTTATAAATGTAATTTATTCCTGTGATGCAAAGCTACATTTTTCAGCATCATTACACCAGTCTTCAGTGTCACATGATCCTTTAGAGTTTGCTTAACAGCTGCTTAATATTTTTGTTGAAACCGTGATATTTTTCTTTTTCGAATTCTTTCATGAATAGACAGTTCAAAAGAACAGCATTTATTTGAAACGGAAATCTTTTGTAGCATTATAAATGTCTTTACTGTCACTTTTGATCATTTTAATGCATATTTGAAGAATAAAAGTATTAATTTCTTTGAGAAAATCTTACTGACCCTAAACTTTTGAACAGTAGTTTACATTAAAAAGGAGATTTCAGGGGGAAAAAAATATTATAATAGTAATAATTATTAAGATGGTTCACCTAAATTACAAAGAAGAAAAAACAAATAGAAACCAATGAGACATTGTTATCACACCAAAAGAATATAAAGCTATAAATTAATGTAGTACATCAGATCACTTGCTCTTGATGATAAATGTTTGAGTTCATACTGAGATCTCTTCGATTTGAATGCAGATATCTATTTATTTTGATATCTTGACAAATCTGAGCACAGTTTGAGACAAGGCTGAGATCTCTTCTGAAACTCTCTTTTGATCATTGGGGTCTTTTCTTATGAGAAACATTTTGCTCTCCATTTAATCTTATTGCTGTCTACTTTTAAGGGATTATATACATTTTTCTAATGATATAGATCCAAAAATACTTTTTGCATAATTATTGAATTTCTGTAGCATTATTTGCTCAGTGTTGCCTTACCTCGAGTGGAGAAATGTTTAGTTAAGCATTAGTACCTCCAGTAGGGATGTCGAATGCTTCATGTTTCTTTCCATGTGTCATCCCTCGCTTCTTTTCTATGCTTTGATTTCTCATAAATGGTGCATCGCTGTACTGTATGTTACAACAAACACCAAATTCTCAGCAGTTCCAGTCTGTGCACACACGTCACTCGACCGCTCTGATCCAAAGCTCCAGCTGTATCTAAATCAACTTTCAATGTGACTTTGAAAAGAAGAAAATCAATAATCCTGTTTCTGATGAGAGAAGATAAGATAAAACGAGGGAGTTGAGTATGAGCCGCACGTATAACTCGGGGATCAGGGAAACGGCTGAGTGGACAGAACCTCAGACGAAAGTTCAGCACAGTCAGCATAGATTCTCCTGAAGAATACAATTAGTGTGTGAAAGAAAGCATCTGTTAGATGAAGCTCAGGTGGACGTTTGGAAGAGATGCAACTGCAGGGTTCCAGAAGGAAACATCCTTTTAACATGTTTTAATGTTTAAATCACCCAAATGTGGTTGGTTAAAAAAAGTCTGCAGATTAGCTACATATGGGCCTTCGAACATCCTTTAAAGGGATACTCCACTTTTTTTGGAAATAGGCTCATTTTACAACACCCCAGAGTTAAACTGTTGAGTTTTACCGTTTTTGAATCCATTCAGCCGATCTCCGGTTCTGGCGGTACCACTTTTAGCATAGCTTAGCATACATCTTTGAAGTGGACAAGACCATTAGCATTTCTAAAAAAAAAAAATGACCAAAGAGTTTCGATATTTTTCCTATTTAAAACTTGACTCTTCTGTATCAGCCTAGAAAATCGCAACTTTACATTTTCCGTCGGTCTTAGTGCACGATGTAACTACAGAAGAGTCAAGTTTTAAATAGGAAAAATATCGAAACTCTTTGGTCATTTTTTTTTTTTTAGAAATGCTTATGGTCTTGTCCACTTCAATGATGTATGCTAAGCTATGCTAAAAGTCGTACCGCCAGAACCGGAGATCGGCTGAATGGATTCAAAAACGGTAAAACTCAACAGTTTAACTCTGGGGGAGTTGTAAAATGAGCCTATTTCCAAAAAAAGTGGAGTATCCCTTTAAACTGATGATTAGGAAATCTGCATGAAAATAAGTTGCAATAGTCTTTTCTTCCCTATTAGGACATATATCCAAGTGAAGCTGCTTCTCAAACACTGGGAGTTGATTGGTTGTGGTTTGCTATTGGTCGATCTCATGTGAGTGACAGGTTATCCCGCCCTCGCGGCAGTAAACATCATCAGAGAAGAGAAGAGATTTGGCTGAGAGGGAGGGGCCATTATTTTTATTAAAGAGGTGATTTCATGCTCATATGAATAAAAAAATAATAATAATTCACGGATAAATAATTTATGATAAAAACGGCAATATTCCATAAATAAAGCAAGAACTGCTGATTTTGATTTCATGGTGACTTTAATATCAATTAATTTATAATAATAATTAATTTAATATTATTAATTTTCTTAATATTTGGTAAAAAGTTATTTAAATGTGTACAATTCATTACTTGTTTCTATTCTCTTAACAATTGTAATAAAATAGCTTTTTTTAATTATTATAAAAACTCTTCCAAAGCCACTCTGATTTCAGCAAGAGAGAAGTTTGTGTTTGTAAAGCGCCCTGGTTTTGTCCCGTAGTTTTTAATGATGCGTCTCTGTCAGTTCTGTGTTTGCTCATGTGCTTGGCAGACGTTCACACGCTGTGTTTGTTTCTGTTCTGCTGTTTTTCCCCCGCCACTTTTATTATGTCAGGTGCATTGAGCCAGTAGCATGTCCCTGTTCGCAAATGATTCGGATTTTAAGAGCTAAGGGATAATTCTGTGGAATTTTGTAGGGAAGAGTTTTATTTTGTTTATCTTGTAGCTGCATGTTGGCTGCGAAATCATAAAGATGACCAACATGGCATTTAGAGCTTTGTTTGCCTTTTACTTTGTGGTGAGCTGAGGTATGTATGTGTTATTTGGTGGACATTTAAATGTTTGTCTGGGAATTTGTGTGTGTTTTTGTGTGCGTGTGTGTGTGTGCGTATGTCCACATGCATGCCGATCCCGTCTCACGGACACACACTCCCTTTGCCTGCTGTGCACAGGCCCACACCCTCACATACACACCTCTCTGTCCTCTCCTGTGTGTTGATGAGATACGGTGATTTCTCTTAGGGGAGGCGGCAGTCCATCCTAGTGCAGCCCCGCCTTGCACCCGTCCCACTGCGAATGCAAAGGTAATGACTCACCTGACTGTGACCCGCCCACTCCACCTCTGTCTCCTACCACATCCACCGTATGTACACTGGACGTGTCCACACACATACTGTACACACACACTACACCTCGCCTGCACAAAGTCATATGCACCTCTACTTCCCAGCCAGAGTTACAAAATCTGAAAAAAGCCTTATTTTATGTAGGCCTTATGTAGTTTGAGGAGTTTGAAAAGAGTTTTGATGATTAAAAGTTGAGTCTTGTGTAGATAGATAGATAGATAGATAGATAGATAGATAGATAGATAGATAGATAGATAGATAGATAGATAGATAGATAGATAGATAGATAAACAGACAGACAGATGTATAGATAGATAGACAGACAGACAGATGTTTAGACAGACAGACAGACAGACATATAGATAGATAGATAGATAGATAGATAGATAGATAGATAGATAGATAGATAGATAGATAGATAGATAGATAGATAGATAAGATAAACAGACAGATGTTTAGACAGATAGACAGACAGACAGACAGACAGACAGATAGATAGATAGATAGATAGATAGATAGATAGATAGATAGATAGATAGATAGATAGATAGATAGATAGATAGATAAACAGACAGACGGATAGATAGATAGATAGATAGATAGATAGATAGATAGATAGATAGATAGACAAACAAACAAACAGATGTATTGATAGACAGATGTTTAGATAGATAGACAGACAGACAGACAGATAGATAGATAGATAGATAGATAGATAGATAGATAGATAGATAGATAGATAGATAGATAGATAGATAAACAGACAGATGTATAGATAGATAAATAGATAAACAGAGGGATAGATAGATGGATAGATTGATAGATAGATAGACAAACAAACAGATGTATTGATAGACAGATGTTTAGATAGATAGATAGACAGACAGACAGACAGATAGATAGACAGACAGATAGATAGATAGATAGATAGATAGATAGATAGATAGATAGATAGATAGATAGATAGATAGATAGATAGATATATAGATAAACAGACAGATGTATAAACAGACAGATGTATAGATAGATAAATAGATAAACAGACAGACGGACAGATAGATAGATAGATAGATAGATAGATAGATAGATAGATAGATAGATAGATAGATAGATAGATAGATAGATAAACAGACAGATGTATTG